GAAATGTCCTATGAAACATTAGGTTGATTCTCCAAGTTCATTGCCCTGGATTTACTACCACTATAAGCATAGAGCTAGTTGCGACTGTTTACTTTGAAGTTCTAGAGATGAATGACAGTATTCTCTAAATTTGGAAAGTCACATGTTCATTATATTATAATTCCAGTAAGGCCAACGTGATGGGAGATCTCAGAGGGGTATTTTAAACTGCAGTGATTGAAATCTCCGTACCAGATGCTGAAGAATTTTCACAGAATAATTTTTAGAATCCCACATGAATATTCATGTGTCTCTCAAATGACAATGTTTCTCATTAAATTCCAATTTACTAGATAGATGCAAAAGAGGTTGAATTCATCTCTAGTCTTTCCATAAGGAAAGGGAGAAATTTTATGGGGTATCTCAGGAGCTCTACTGAGGCTCCATAATATTTTCTCTGATCAATCAAACAAAAGAACACCATGTTTTTCTTAATTTATATTTTTGGGATGTTCTGTCATAAATATTAAAGACAACACTATTCAATTACCTAGCAGTGACAATTCAAGATATTAAAACTCTGAGTTGACTCCACAAGCACAATGCTAACAGAATTATTTCCTTCTCATTCTCTTAAATTATCTCATTACAAATGGAACCACTTTTTTTCCACCAAGCCATAGCATTTCAGTTCCACAATTAGAACTCTTAACCTTCAAAAATCTTTAATTCCCAACTCCCATTTTATCTGATGTTTGAAGACATAAGTCATTCATCTTGCTGCCTGTTCTGTGCACCATGTCCCCAAAACAAATGACACAGGTAAAAGGAAAAAAAATTCTACTCAACATCACAACTTCAAAGATATGCATGTTTCAAGCCAAGCTATTAAATTCCAAATTAGTTTTCATTAACCAAAGTAAATTCTAAATTAGTTTGTATTAACCACAGATTATCCCAAACCACGCTTCCTGGAGCACTAGAACCAGTTCCTATTATATTTCTCAGCTCAAAATTTCTATAGATGCTGTCTATACCATTTTTTAAAATCCTTTGGCGGTCAGAACAATTAGACTAAAAGGGGAAGACAAGCAACATAGGGATATGGCAGCTCCCTTAGTTTTTCTCATTTAACCCATGTGGAATATTATGTAACTGCAATTTTACTCATACTTGCAAGGAAATAGAGTTTCTCTCTGCTTCTTTACAAGGACAAATCTTAGTTCTCTAAAGCTAGATTGTTTTCATCACTACTACTGGAAAAGCAGTTTTATTTACACTAAGGCAGTTAGAGTGTTTGTTCATCTGAGCCACACACGAGTTTATCAAAAACAGTCTGCAAACAGACAAAAGGGGAAAAAAATCAAACATAGGCTCACATACAAAGACATCTTCCCCAAAAAACTTTCTAAAAATCAAGAATTAAAAGCCCAAATTAAAACCAATTTTCTTTCATGATGTCAAAATCAAATCCCCAAACTGGGAAGTGATGACAGCAGAAATCATGTGATTTCAGATATGATCCTAGACTTTGGAAGGAGAAAAAAAAAAGTTAAGTTAGACTAAATGACAAGGAAGACCCATAGCTTTATTTATCACCTCAGGGGTTCTAGTGTTCACCAGGAAGCTAATTCTGGAGTATCTTACAATAGAAATTTGTTGGGTCAGGAATGCATCCTATTAAAAAGATGAGGAAAATAACAAAGTGACCTAAGATAATCTGAAGAGTATGGGAACCAGGTGTGGGGATCTGACGAGGAAAAGACTGTCAGAAGACCATCAATAGTTTGTTTTGATGTTTCTTGTTGGCTCTCATGAAGTTGGAGATGCTTAGTGTGTAGCTCTTGGACAGCAGGATATAAAGGAGAACTAAATGACTGGAGCAGGTCTTGTTTTTAAGACATCCAAGAGAAAGAAATGAGGTTCTTAGCAGTGAGATTGGTGACACAAAACCAGTCATGACTGGTGTCACATTGGTAGAGAGACAGTGTCCATCAAGCTTGCTGGTGTTTACCACGCCATAGCACAGCAAACTTTAGGGCGTTAAGCCAGTCAAGAATCTGTTGATATATACGGGCCTGTGCTGACAAATCTTCAGTGGTTTTGGCCACATACTGGTGAAACTCATTAGCTGTTTGAAGAGAACTAGTCAGGGCAGACTCTGCCAAGACTGCAGTAGCAGCCAGAGAAACAAGAAAAATAATTTTAGTAACTAAAGAGGCTAAATAGTGATGGATTCTATCATGGTAGTCTAGAGCATGGCCCATTTGAGCTAAGGGGGATCTGCCTGAGTAGAGGTGTGTAAGGTTAATAGGAATCTGTTAACTATCACCTTATGAATGTCCTGAAGGGGGCAAGTAATCATATGGTCACTGTTTCTAAGACCAGGGGCTTGGATTTGGTAGTTTTACTGTGGGCAGTGTTAAAGACCATCTACTAGAAAGTATCAGGTTTTAAGAAGTCTTACATATTTTAAAACATTTTTATTAGTATACTATTGATATTAACTTACATGTTTTTGGTGGCAAGTTGTTAAAGTACATAAAAATTTTAAAACACACTTTTTTATTTAGAGTTACTGAGTACTATTTTTTAATCTTTATATTGTAAGACAACTGAAAGAGAAAAAAATTAAGTAGTTGTCTTTTTTTAAAAACAAGTAACTCAGAAAAAAACAAACAAACAAGTAACTCAGGTCTTCTACAACACGTAGGATATTTCACAAGACCAGTGGGTTTTGGTCTCTGGGTCATCACCTTCTAGTGCTTTCTTCACTTGGAGTGATGCACTTGGGGTTAATGCCTTCAAGTTTCAAAGAAGAGCAGTTAGTAAAGCATTACAAGAACCAGGCCATATCTCCAAGAGTTGGGCTTGGGCGTCTCCACTCTGCCAGATCTTAAGTAAGTCTTGATCTCTAGGTCTCAAAGGATGCGATGATTCATTGCATGGAGGCATACAAATCCTAGAGAAAGGAAAGTTTGGAGTTACAGCTAAACGTTCCTGGATGTGTTATGTACCTTTGATCATACATTTTTGTTTTACGTTTCATTAGTGGTCAAAATTGAACCTTAGTTACTATTTCACTTTTTTTTTTTTGCTTAAATTTATTTCAGGAAATCAAAATGTGGTATATTTGGGGGAAAGTAAAAGACGCATACACTAAGAAGGGACCATCCTAAGATATATGCTCGCCATTATCATGGACTTATGTTAGCAGAAAATACCTTCTAAGATAAGCACAAATACAATATAACTTCTAAAATTCCATCTTCTGTAAATCCTTTCAGTTCAATCACAAATTCCAAAGATTTGTCATGTTCTCTTTGGCTGCAATTTGGATGAGATTAGTTCTTTTGTACAGTACTGAAGAGCAGATAGCTTCATACTACTCATACTACCAGCTCATAGCAAAAGGCAAAAGTAAATTCTAGATACTGAAGATTGAAATTCTTTTGTATAGCAACCTTAGATCTTGGACAAGTGTCGGCTGGGGTAATTAGGAAATTCTTCTGGCAGCAAAATGTGGTGACTGCAGTTTGGGCCTGTCCCCTGTTCCATCCATCAAGGGTCAATGTACTGACAGTGAAATTTATGAGCAAAAAGCAAAGCTGATAAGTTTTCTGAAGAGAGCTTTTTATGACATATTACACAAGGTTCAGATTCCTTGCAGTCAGCACACGGATTTTCTCTTCTACTTTGCTTCACCTACTTCCTCTCCATATCCCCTTTCTCTTCCTGTTCTGTCTTCTCTATGAAAACAGTTGCCTCCTTTCTTCTCTCCTAGCATACACTTTAATGGCTATACCCACCAATTGAAAAGGTTATCTATGGCAACTTCTCCCTTGGTTTCTTTCTTTTATCAGGAATACTCTGATCAATGAATATTGTTAAATCTCCCAGCATTTTCTAGAGCATCTGTGTAAGTACATAAATTTGAATAAACCTTTCAAGAACCTCAGACTGACCCTTTACTGGCTTTTTGTTGACATTTTCAGTATGTTATCAAAACTTTGCTTAGACATTCTCTTCCTTAATCCTCCTAATTAGCACCTCTTATCCCATTCTAGTCATTCCATTCTCCCATAACTAGGGTCCCAGTTAGGATCTACCATTAGGACAGCTCATTCTGGCTCTGGGGTATCTGGATTCTTCTGGTGGAGAAGAATGCCTGTTTGTAAGCCTTCCCCCAAATCATTTACTGCTCAACCAAAGTTAATGCTTATGAAACATGTCCATCTAGGTAGGCCAATCGGAGGAAAAACGTTAAGCAAACAAGTAAGTCATCCTTTGAGGCTCCTGCTGGTACGAAGGGACATAATTTCTCCAATTCAAAAGGCCTCCACTGGACAACGGGTTAAATGACCGATGGTATCCTTCAGGTTGTCCCTGTTCATTTAATTCCCCCTGGGAACTGGTGAATCGGAATTGTTCTATCACAGGTGGGCTTCCTTGACTAAATTGGGTGGAATCTTCCTGATCTACTGTGTTAAAGCAGTGGGCGCAGGACCAAGGCAGGAGGCGGTGTAGCGTCCCAGGGCCCACCGGCTCCCAGCGCTGAGTCTCAGTAACAACCGGAGGTCTGTCCAGCAACTCAGTCCAGCCCTTGGTAGGGCGGAGCCGTCAGGAAGCAGGGCTCCGAGCACAGAGGGCGCCAAGGTGCCCGCTGGCAAAGCCTGAGACAATGAGTCGCTGCCCCTCCAACTCTGCAAACCAAATTTTGCTGGCTCGTCCGATTAAAGATTGTTCCAGGAAGATTGTTTTATCCCACCACCTCCAGGTCCGCCTAAGGCGCCAGTGCACCGACCGACTGACGCCCTGTTGCCAGGCCCCGCATCTGACGACGCCCCGCACCTGACCACGCCCAGCATCTGACCACGCCCCCGCAGTAGGCGGTTGACTTTCGAACAGCGCCGCTCACTCTCTCCTATTGGAGGATGCCGGGCAGTTGAAAGTCGCCGGAGACCGCGCCTGCGTGGGGAAGTCCGCGAGGCCCCGCCCAACCTGGGAGCCTGCAGTCCCTCGGGCGGAGGAGGCGGCGCCCAGTACCTCAGCCTGTGTCTGGGGCCGCGGAGTGAGTGGCCTGCTGTCCTCCTCGCGGTGAGTGAGCAGCCTCCCTTGGACTCGGGTCGCTAGAGACGGCTGCGGGCTGTCGCCCTGTGGCACACGCCGGTGTATTGGGGTGTTTGGAGGCTCGAGGGAGAGCGTGGGCTTGGGTCCTGCGTGTCTTCACTGGCCCGGGGTGCGGAGCCGCCCTGTGAGGGGCGAAGGGTGACGGAGCGGGGGGCTTCCCAAGCCAGTGCCCGGGGGTCGGGGCGTGAGCGTGGGGGAGGCGCGACCCGCCAGCCTCGGGAGAGTTTGTCTGTAGACCCTTCCAAGGGCGAGGGCGGGAGTAGGGGACAGCTGGTCTGAGGGCTGCTCTGTGGGAACTTCTCACGGGTGTGATTATACGCCCATTTTACAGACGTGAGACCTCAGTTTCCAGGGGCATTAGCGTCCCACGGCATTTAAAGGGCGGAACGGAGGGAGAAACGGACGCGTATAACCTAAAACAGTGCCAGCTTCCCTGGCCGACTCTCTCAACCCCTTGGATGTGCCTTGCCTTCCTGTAAACCTTAGGCAATCTAGAAAACCGTGAGTGTTTGGTGAATGCTGCTTGGTTGGTGTTTTCGAGAGCGTGTAAGATACCTGACGCTGTAAACAGGTCTTTGTGGCGGTTTCGTTCTGGGTATGGTTAGGATTTTGGAGGAACTGGTGATACCTGTCCTGCGGCTCCAATAACTGTTGATATTTGTTACTGCTTTTCTAAAACACGATACACATAAAAGATCGTGCAACAACTATTCCTAATGCAGTTTTGAGGTGAGAATCTAAGAGATTTAGAAAAGTATTTTAATTGTAGAATAAGAATAAAGTAATCCGAGAAATTTGGAGAAGATAGTCATTTCTCAAATCAGAAGATCAACGAAGTAGGTAAGTCTTGGAAAATTAAGTAGCAAAAACATGTTTTCGGAGTGTAGGATTTCAATTGTGGGGTGTAGGTTTTGAATCTTTTGAAAACATACATATGTTGGTGCTGTATCAGTTGCAAACCATGTAAGGAGGGTAAAATGAAAAGTAAACAACTCCCTCATCTCACCTGTACTCTAAACTTAGTTAACTCTCCTGGATGCCTTTTCAGAACTGTATAAAGATTTGCATATATTAGCGCGCATTGTGGTATCACTTTATTAGCTACAGTTGTGCAAATTACATATATAATTTACTATGCTTTTTTTTTAACTATGTATTGAGCAGTGATCTGCATTTTTTAATAACTAAGGTGATTACCTTTTGAAATAAGGTATCATAATTTAGTGAGTGAGGTGAAGTTTTAATTTTAGGAATGTTTTCACATTGCCTTTCAGCAAACTACTACTAAATGTTTTTTTACCAAATATGTTTTCACTTTGAAAATTGTAACCTCTCATTTTAGTTCCTAGTTAAATCGCTTTAAGAGTTTCCTTCTTAGTTTGGGGTAGCAGATGTCAAAATGCAGGAAAACAGTGAAAATCAGATGTGACCATAGGATTTTTTTTTTAATTTGAAAGTTAGAATGACCCTTGATTTTGTGTAAGTAGGGAAGCATTTTTTAAATCTTGCCTTATGTATACACATGGCAACATTGTAGTATTTCTGAAGTAAGCCTTGAATTGCATAAAATATGCTTTTTATCAGTTTGGACCACAAAAAACGTGAGCCTTGTCTGGGTGATTGCACCTCTGAATTTTCCCAGACTTAACAGCTGACTCACATTGTGAGTCCTAGAGTAAGACATCTAACTATAATGTGATAAATATAATTTCTCTTCACAGGTTGTAAAATGTAATGGCTGTTTTATAACTACTCATGCTTAGAGATGAAAGGAAATAATGCACTAGTGAATTAAAATTCATAAAATAGTTTGCATAGGAGAATGGGTAATATTTTTGTTACTGCTTGTTCCCCATCATCATTCTTAACTTGCTGGTTAGACATTGTGGAGGCGCCATAGGAAGTCAGTTCAAAGGATAAAGACTACCTGACCACCTAAAATGTTCAGAATTTCAGAAGCGTGCGTGTTTTTGACACAAGAAACTTATGAAGTAATTCATAAGTAGGTGATTTAGCTTGTTTGTTTCTGAAAAGTCACATTTCTAGGTGACTTAAAAGGAAAGTAGGAAATCTTTGAATTAATTTACCAACTTTCACTTGGAATTAGTTCTCACTGGAGGAGAACAATGTACATTTTCTTTTAAATATAAATTATTTGATTCTAGCTTAATTTAGCAGTGGAAAGAGTGAGACTTAAACATTTTAAGGTTTTTTATTCTGTTAAATATAAAATTTACCATCTTTACCACTTTTAAGTTTACATATCTGTACATTTAAGTATGGATATACTAAGTGGCATTAAATATATTACATGTGCAACCGTTCATCTTCAGAACTTTTTCGTTTTCCCTATGTACCCTCTAAACAATAACTGTAATTGCCATCCCTTTTCTAGTCCCCTGGCAACCCTCATTTTACTTCCTGTCTTTGTGAACCGCTTATTGGTTTTTGTATTGTGTACATTTTTCACACAGTTTTTCTCCATTGGGCTAATCGAAAAATTTTCTGTAACCAACAGAATTAATTTCATATTTCTAAAAGGAACCTTATTTAATCATTGAATGATTTGTTTTTGCTAACACTGGTTTAGGATTTTATGTCAGTGTCCATTTTTCCTATTAGTTTGTATTATCTTTGTTAAATTTCAGAATCATGATATATGTATGATCTTCAAAACAATTTGCAACAACTTTACTTCTTTGTATCTTGGAACATTTGAAAAAGAAATAGCTTCATGATCATTGCTAAGAAAGAACTCACCAGAAGCTTGTCCCCTTTCAGTGTTTTAGAGTAGCATATCTCAACTTATAAATTTCTCTCATGGTTTGCTTTTTCTTCTTGGTTGAGTTTTGGTATTAAAACTAATATAGAGAATAATTAATTTCTTACAGGTTTTCAAATATGGTAGCATAGATTTGTGCAGGATAGTCTTTTTTTTTTTAATTTTGGTTTATTTCCTTTTTTCAACGCTAACTTAGTATACTTGTCATTTTTCCCCCTTTCCCCTCTTGATTAAGATAGTATATTAATGTATTGCTGCCTAAGAAATTATCCCCAAATTTAGCACCTTATAACAACAAACATTAAAATACTTTCGGTGGGTCAGGAATTTATTTAAGCTGTTGGCTAGTCTGTAATCATTGCAGGATATCACTGGACCTAAAGTATCAGGTTCCAAATTCACTTACGTAGTTTTCAGGCTTTAGTTTCTTGGGAGCCTTTAGACTAAAATACCCTTGCCACACCATGTAGACCTAAGTTCTGCTCACAGCATGACATCTTGTATCCCTCAGAGTGATCTATGAGAGAGTAAGAACACTCCAGACAGAAGACAGGGTCTTTTATTAGGAAATTTCATAAGTGTTATATTTATTTGAAAGGGAGTCAATAGGCTCAGACCACACTGAGGAAAGAAGGTTATAAAGGGCATGATTATAGGAGGTGGAGGTCATTGGGAGCCATCTTGGAAGCTACCTATCACAGATATCTAACAGTTAAGAGACATCTCCTGGTTTTATCAATTCTAACATTTTATGTTTATAATTCATACTTCTTTTATCTCTATTCTGCTTTTCCTTTCTTTTTTTCCCTAGCTTCAAAAAAATTACTTTTTTTTGTCTCATAATAAAAGCATAAGGCTTCAGCTCTGCTTTACAGAATTTTTTTTTTAAACTATAGATTTTGCCAAGAGTTTTCAAATGAATAAATTTATTTTGGAAAGAGAATACTTAGGTCTTAATCCATTTTCTTCCAGACCCCGTGAATGTTGCTACATTGTCTTTAACATTCCTTATTACCTTGAAGATGTTGTGGCTCTGTAACAAACATTTGAAGATGTGACTGACTACACATCCAAAATGTCTTTTACTCTCATAGGTCTGGCACCTCATTGCTTCCCATCTTGTCCTTTCTCATCACCATGGACTTTTTACATAGCAGTTTGTGGTTCTAAGAAGTGACTTCCAGGCAAATTAAGGGCTAGTTCTAGAACTGCTACAAGTAGAACTGCTACTTGTACCATTTCCTATTGGTGAGATGGAGGCACAGATTTTTGGGGGGGCATGAATATCTCTTAATCGAAAGTGCCAGCAGTTGTGTAGAAGGGCATGTGTGGCGAGATGAGTACTGTGTCTCTTTTTGGAAATTATAATCTTAGACGAGAATTTTGAGACTGGCATGTTTTTGTTTTCCTTTCCTACCTGCCTTTTTGGCATAGATGCTTGTAGGATTGTTTTTAAAATTGTATTATGATTATAATTGTATATTAATAGTTGAAAGTAAAACAGCACTCACTAGGTTTATAATGAAAAACAGCAACCCCTTGCCCTTAATCTCTCTAGTCCTTATTCCTGGTTTCCAGAAGCAATCACATTAATTTCTTTTCAAACCTTTTCTTTGGAATTGTTTCTATGTTTCTAAATAATATACTTTAAATACTTTTACTTTTTCACTTTCACATTTGTATTGACTTCTTATAAAGGAAGGATAAAATTTAGTTATTAAATATGACTTCCATATTTTATTTCTTAAAATATAATTGTCTAACTTTCTGGCTTTGGGCTGTTATAAGCAAAAATATCAGTCTGTGTAACTTAAACTACAAACATTCTTACAATTTAGTACAATGGGAATTCTAAGATCAGGATGCTGGCATAACTGGGTTCTGGTGAGAGTACTCTTCTGTTTTGCAGGTGGCTGTCTTATTCCTGTGTCCTCATATGGCAAGTCCTTGTATTTCCTCCCTCCCTCCCTTCCTCCCTCCCCTCCCTTCCTTTCCTCCCTCCCTTCCCTCCTTCCTTCCCTCCTTCCTTTCCTCCCTCCCTTCCCTCCTTCCTTCCCTCCTTCCTTCCCTCCCTTCCTTCCCCCCTCCTTCCCTCCCATTTATTTATGCTACAGAAATAGGGTACAGGCCAGAGGTGCAGAAGCAGTGAGAGGATTCACCAGAGAAAAAATGGGGAACAGAACAGGTGGACTGACTAAGTACACTGCTGAAGGGAGCAGTGTGCTAGTCAGGAGAGGTCTGCTACGCCATGTGAATCACCTCCAGGGTGGGGATCCAACTCATACTGAGTGGCTTTAGCTTCTTAGTGCTGTGCTTTAACCTGCTGTGCCACCAGGGAGGGCCCCTTGTATATTCTTTTTATAAGGATATTAATTCCACTCCTTAGACCTCCACACTCATGATCTAATACCTTCCAAAAGCACCACCTTCTGAATGCTATAACATTGTGAGTTAAGATTTTCTAAATGAGGGGCCCTCCCTGATGAGACAGTGGCTTAAAGCACAACATTATGAAGCTATCCACAGCCACTGCAGCACAAGTTCAGTCTCTGGCCAGGGAGGGTGACCCATTTGGTGTTGCGGACCTCTCCTGACTCACCCACTGTGGCCACCTCAGCTGTGGATTTCAGAGTCTCCCTGTTCTGTTCCCAACTTTCTCTGATGAATCTTCTCATCCCCCACAACTCTAGCTTGTACCGCATTTCTTGTATGCATAAGTAAATAAATCTTTTTAAAAAAGGATTTAAAAAATTTTTGGTGGCTACAAATGTTCATTCTTTAAGTCATTTTTTAAAACAAAATTCTTATTTTTATAATAATATAATACAAGAACTGGATCATATTATGCTGTAATGTTTTCTCTTTTTTCCTAAAAAATCCTAAAGAATCCTTCTTTATTCTATCACTTTTCCCTATGTTTTATTTTCTTAATGTTTTCAAGATTTTCAGACACATGAAATATTCTTTCCATCCCATCTACTTGCATAAAGACATTATTCCTGGATCTTTGTCCTTCAAATTGCTTGTTCTCAGTTGTCCTGGTCACTATATTGTGGTGAGAATTCTTGTGCTTTTTTAAAATTTTTGTCCCTGCAGTAGCTGTTATAGAAAGCACATGAGGTGCACTTTCTTGGGTCAAACTATCTTTAGTTTACCCTCAAAATTTCTCTCTTTTGGGTGTAAAATTTTAGATTGGAAGCCACTTTTTCTTAAGAATATTGAAGGCATTGCTTCATTGTTTCCAGTATTTAATACATTATTTAGCTATACTCTAAATCTGGGATACTCTTCCTAGAAAATGTACAGTTACATAAATTTTTTTTCCTTTTTTCCTAGCCTAGTTATAGAAAATTTCTAGTGTGAAAAATTTCTGCAAGAACTAGCCCCTAAACACAATGTATCTTCTATATATCAGGTAGCATCCACATCCAGGAAATTCCTTGCCTTAGAAAGTCATTTTCAGTCAGGCTTGCTTCTAGTAAACCAATTCTGACTTCTCTTGAATGTGTTACCTAAAAAACACTTTAAATAAATCATCAAAAGATAGTCTTAAGGCTGGGATTTGGTTTCTTCAAGTTATCCCATTGCTAAACAAACTATAAGTTATGAGACTATGATTTTTGTTTTAGTTTTATATAAACTCAGGAGATGATTTTTAGAATCTTGCTGTGACTTCTATCCTCAGTTCTAAAGAGAATAGAACTTACGTAGTTCCTAAATGGATTCTCTGGGCAAATGTTTTGTAGCTTTTTGACAAATAAAAGGATATTGGAAGGAAAGGTTAGATTCCACTTTATGGCTGATTTCACTACGTAAACATTAAGTAGCTCTAACAACAAAATCTAAATTGAATATATGTCCACTACTCATTTTATTCCTTGCAAAGTGCTATTATGTATTCCTTCATTATGAATTCATATATCACTGGAATACTGTGAGAAACGTTTGTTTTTCTTAGTGTTTTGTATTTCAGAGCTCTCTGTAGGTGTAGAGTCATGAAGTCTTCTCTGTATTGTTGCCCAGTTTTTTAGTTCTTGAAATGCTTCATTGTTCAAACTCAGTCTCTATATGACTTGTTTTCACTCACTAGGATTTTGGATATTGTCAGTCTGAGTGGAGTATTTTATGTTCTATACTCTTGTTATATTGTTTTTCCTAAATAGTTATTTCTCTGTCTTAAAAAACTCACAAACTATTATATGACAGTTTATTAACTTGGTCTTTTAAGGTAGTGTATATTCAATTTTGAGTAAACACTTATTATGTGTAAAGGTCTGCACTAAAACACAGTTCCTACCCTTACTGCAGATTTATATTCTGGTGTATGAAATATGTTAGAAGATTGTTTTAAATATAATTCAGTTAAGTAGAATTATCAGGGGACCTAATCTGGGGAAGTGGTAAGGCTCAGACTGAGATTTGAGTCGGTTTGGTTTAACCAATGGTAAAGATAAAGAGCATAGAGCTAAAAAGTCCAAAATAGTTTATGTTCATTCAAGTACCAAGTTATTTGTAGATGTTGGTTTCTCAAACCTTTAATCTTAAAATCTTACTTCTTATTGAGAAGGATTTGGTAACCTTTGTATTTTACATGGCTGGTACTTGAATTTTAAAGGTCTTTAATGGTGTGACTTGATTTTTCTGTTAGGGCTGAGCAAATCTTCTTGATAATTGTGGCTTGTGCTAAGGACAGATACAAGGAAAAGTGATAGTATACAAAACTGTTTTCTGTTGTTCGAAATGTCAACAGAGCTAGTCAGAGGGTCTCTGAACTATTGCTGGGTTTCTTCCATGAAGGAAAAGATGACTGATGGCTTTCTTTGCCTCTGATGCTGTAGTATCAGTAATCCGTTACCACAACAAACATTTTATTTTTCAAACTGATTTTTTTTTAACTGATTTTTTTTGGAAGGACTAATTCAGTTTTTTTTCCCTTCCAAATCTTAAAAATTACTTTAAGATATTACACTATGCTGATCCTGCCTTTAGGAACAATTCCAATTCAAGAAGCTGAGATATTATAGTAACAGTTACTAGAGAAATTTTATAAATTCCTTTAGAAACAATGGTTGAGCCAACTTGGAGCATTAATTCTTCTTTTGAATTAAAGAATATAATTTTGCTAAGCATAACTTGTTACTGATAGACATGTTTGGTCTTACCAACATGTGCAGTTTAGAATGCAAACTTGCTCAGAATGGTTGTAATCATTACACTTCAACAGAACACTGAATTTTAGTGTTCTTTACATAGAAACAACTTCAGTTGAAAACATTTTATTACAGATTAACTAGAATTGATTTGTTCAGCATCCAAACAATACATTTCTAAAGATTATCAGCTACTAAATATATATTAGGAATTGCATTATTAGAAACTTAAAAAAAATCAGTAAAAGTAAAAACTATCTTTTTTTTTTTTAAAAGATTTATTTATTTATTCATACAGAGCTGGGGTACAGGCCAGAGATGCGGAGGGTGAGAGGATTCACCAGAGACAGAGTGGGGTGCAGAACAGACAGATCAATGAAGTACACTGCTGAGGGGAGCAGTGGGCGGGTCAGGAGAGGTCTGCCTCTCATGTGGATCTTCTCCAGGGCAGGCGGACTCATGCGGAAGTGGCTTTAGCTTCTCAGTGCAGTGCCTTAACCCGCTGCGCCACCAGGAGGGCCCAGTAAAAACTATCTTTTAAATGACAAGCAGTATATGAAGTTTGGAGGTTAAAACTAAAACTTTATGTAAGATGTGCATTTTTTAATATTTAAATTAAAATACTTTTTTCTCTTGACAGGAAATGCATAATTTTGAGGATGAGTTAACGTGTCCCATTTGTTACAGTATTTTTGAAGATCCTCGTGTACTACCATGCTCTCATACATTTTGTAGAAATTGCTTGGAAAACGTTCTTCAGGCATCTGGTAACTTTTATATATGGAGACCTTTACGAATACCACTCAAGTGCCCTAATTGCAGAAGTATTATTGAAATTGCTCCAACTGGTATTGAATCTTTACCTGTTAATTTTGCACTAAGGGCTATTATTGAGAAGTACCAACAAGAAGAGCATCCAGATATTGTCACCTGCCCTGAACATTCCAGGCAGCCATTAAATGTTTATTGTTTGCTAGATAAAAAATTAGTTTGTGGTCATTGCCTTACTATAGGTCAACATCATGGTCATCCTATAGATGATCTTCAGAGTGCCTATCTGAAAGAAAAGGACACACCTCAGAAACTGCTTGAACAGTTAACCGACACACATTGGACGGATCTTACTCATCTTATTGAAAAACTAGAAGAACAAAAATCTCTTTCAGAGAAAATGGTTCAAGGTGATAAGGAAGTTGTTCTCCAGTATTTTAAGGAACTTAATGATACATTAGAACAGAAAAAGAAATGTTTCTTAACTGCTCTCTGTGATGTTGGCAATCTCATCAGTCAAGAATATACTCCGCAAATTGAAAGAATGAAGGAAATGAGAGAGCAACAGCTTGAATTAGTGACACTAACGTCATCTTTACAAGAAGAGTCACCCCTCAAATTTCTTGAAAAAGTTGATGATGTCCGCCAGCGTGTGCAAATATTGAAACAAAGACCACTCCCTGAGGTCCAACCTGTTGAAATTTATCCTCGTGTTAGCCAAGTTTTGAAAGAAGATTGGAACAAAACAGAAATTGGACAAATTAAGAAACTTCTCATTCCTGAAATGAGAATTTCTTCAAAAAGGATGTCATATTCCTGGCCTGATAAAGATGAAAAAGAAGTTGAATTTTTTAAGATTCTGAACATTGGCATAGTTACACTAATTTCAGTGATACTCATGTTGATCCTCTTTTTCAACCAACACATAATAACCTTTGTAAATGAAATCACATCAGTATGTTTTACTGAAGTCTCTCTATCTGTTTACCAAAGTTTATCTAACAATATGAATGATTTAAAGAATATACTATGCCATACTTTGTACTTACTAAAGGAACTTACTTGGAAAGTAGTTTCTTATTGAAAATTCAAATCTGAATTGTTTATATAGGTTTATTCTGTACAGCAGAGTCTAATCATTGCTAAGTGAAGAAATAGGGGTAGCATAGATAAGAAATGAACTATGTTAAGCCTTTCGCACTTCTGTTGGGTAGAAATGATCTGTCAAGTTAAAAATGTTTTTAGTTTTCAAATCTGAAAGTTAAATTACTTGATTTGAATATACTATTTTTATTGGCTTGGAAGTTTTTTTTTTAATATTACTATGATATTTAAACAATCTTAATGCCAGTATTGTCTTTTATTATACACTGCAGTGGTCAGGTTTGTGATTATGTATACTTTAGCTTGTACATTAAAACATAGCAAAATCCTAAAATTGTACATGCCTTTATTTTGATGTGGCTTGAACCTTTTGAGTGGGCAGATAAGGGATAGGGATAACAATGTTTGAAAATCAAGTAGCAAAATTTGAATGTGATAAGGATGTCCATGTTAAAGATGTTTTTGATCAAATAATACCTGACATTCCAGAGACTGAAATTGTGGTTTAAAAATACTAATCTGCTGATGAATCTTAACACTAAGCTGACTGTAGTTAGGTCAGATTTCACCATCTGTCACTGTACATAGGCCTTTGAACTACTGCAGACAATGAGCATTTGAAATACGTAAGAGCCAGGGATGATGTATTTAGCTAATGAACATATAAATCTAATTTTAGACTCAAGTGGCATTAAAAAATATTAAGTCATATCTCAAAAATTCCCTCTATTTGTGAATATTAGTAAGCACTGACAAAATATTTTGTAATAAATTCTATTTTTGTAGAACTTTTTGATTTATATAGTTCTTATACATGCTATTTTACCAAAGTATATTTTAGATTTATGTATAATAAAGCATATGTATTCTTTAAAGATTTGATTTATACATACAGAACTGGGGTACAGTCCAGAGGTGCAGGGGTGTTGAGGATTCACTGGAGACAGAGTGGGGAGCAGAACAAGCAGACTTATAAAGTCCACAGCTGAGGGGCACAATGGGCGAGACAGGAGGGCTGCTGTGTCATGTGGTTCACTTCACTGGCTGTGTATATATATATATTTTTTTAAAGATTTATTTGTGCATACAGAACTGGGGTACAGGCCAGAGGCTCAGGGGCAGTGAGAGGCTTCACCAGAGATAGAGTGGGGAGTAGAAGAGTCAGATCGAGGAAGTACACTGCTGAGGGGAGCAGAGGCCAGAGGCTCAGGGGCAGTGAGAGGCTTCACCAGAGATAGAGTGGGGAGTAGAAGAGTCAGATCGAGGAAGTACACTGCTGAGGGGAGCAGCGGGCAGGTCAGGAGAGGTCTGCCACGCCATGTGGTCACCTCCAGGGCAGGCGGGAATCGAACTCATGAAGTGGCTTCAGCTTCTTAGTGCTGTGCTTTAACCCGCTGTGCCACCAGGGAGGGCCTGGCTGGGTATATTTTAATAAAATCATTTTGACATTTTATTTGCATTGTGACTCTATAAGGTGTCCAAAGGAGTGGTAGCTGTAGATGTTTTATATGCCCTCCTCCCCTGCCATGACATGAGTTAAAGGATAGCACTATGAAGCTATTGTGGCTACTGCAGCATGAGTTTGATCCCTGGGTGGGTGTGACCCACAAGGCGTAGCAGACCTCTCCTGACCTGCCTGTTGCTCTCCTTAGCAGTGTACCTCATCAAACACCCCCAACTCTGGTCTGTCCTCTAACTCTGTATGCATACATAAATTAAAAAATTTTTATATGGGTGTATTATCTACTTTGATGCTTAGTACTAATTTTTCCTACTACTATACTAAGTCAATACTAAATTCCACTTGTACTTTCACCAAGAGAAGCATTCAATTTATAGCTTTGTTATTTTTCCTTCATGTAACCTTGATTTAAAACACATGACCATACTTGAGTTTCAGATCTTGCTTTATTTCCATGCTACTGTATTTACAGTTTTTAATGGCTTTGCTATGATACAACTGTTAGCTCAGTGTTAATTTCACAGGATCAGTTATCTAGAAATTGAACAGTTAAGGAAAAGACTTCAGTACCAAAAATTCCTTCTGAAAATTAGGTTGCCAACCTATTTCCAGTAACAATATGAAGCATTCCTGAGCCAGTAGGGTTAAAAAAAAACAAACAAAAAACCCCCCCAAACTTCGGCACTGTAGGAAAATAACACTCCATCTTAATTTCCACTTACACTCAGAAAGTTACTAGTTTATCCTTTTAATGAAATAAGTGTAGTGGTATATGAGTTCCCTTTACAACTTCTAATTTACCTGAGTCATGTTCAGAAGATACTGTTGGTTTACGCTAGCCCTTCTACAAGTGTTCTTTCAAACACAGAAATTTTAGAAAATAATAGGTTTTCATCCTTATAGTTGAGAATGAACGGTTTAAAAAGCCCCTAATATTTGTGTAATAAATACAATATGATTGTCAAGTAAATTAAGTGGAGTATTTTAGGAATATAAGAGTAGCTGGCAGAATTTTCTAAGTGTGGGCTAAAGATTCATGGGAGTAGGCTGAGTCTTGTTAACATGATCTAGTTTTAGAGTTTCACTATTAATTAACATGCTTTTTAAACTATCAGTAGTAAGTTGGGACTAAGGGCAAATCACCTGATATCCTCCAGGCTTCTTCCTCTCACTGCCTGTTTACAAAACTGTCAGATTGTTAAAATCTAGTGGCAAGAACAGAATATTTTATTAGAATTGTAATGTCAATTACATAAAATAGAAACCAGTTACATGATCCAGTCTAGGAATATATATTTTATATAATTTATAATCCTTTACAAAAAAAAAAAATCAATATAATACTCTCAGTCTGTTGATTAAAGGAATCTTCAATATAAACAAGTTCAACAAAGTCCTTTAGATGCAATTTCTTTTGGGTTTACCGCAACACTTTTTGTTATATTGTATGTCTTGTAAATTCCAATAAGTCTATCCGAAATCTCAAACATATTATTTCGAAGAGAAATGATGATGAACTGGGCATTTTTTGTTTGTTCCTAAAGAGAAAAAGTTAGAAACATTAAATATTACAAGTAAATCATGTAATAAACATCTAAGCTTTACTATTTCCCACATATTGGAGGGCAGTAAATTAAAGCTTACACAATAATGGACATAAACAGGAATGATGGCACGGATAATCCATGAAAAAGGATTTGAGTTAGAGAGGAATTTGGATGTTTTTGATAGTATTTTGCCTGAAAGTCTCCTATTGGAAAAAAGATCCAGACAGCAAACTTCAGATTCTAGCTGTGTTTCTTCTACTAATTACATTATCAATCTGAACTTTAATTTCCCCCAAATAAAGGACTTGGTCACCTTTGATACCACAGGACATGGAGATATTGGGAAAAAGCTAAATAAGAAACAATTCCAAGTATTTCATAGTCCAAGTATTTCATGTGTAATGTTTAGGGGACAAACAGAATTTGTGAGTAAGAACATCTGAATGTCTACTTACATAGATATAAAATGCAACAATCGACACATTTTTAAAATCAAGGGCTGCATCAATCTCGTCCATGAAGTACAGGGGCGTGGGTTTGTAGTGGTGAAGAGCAAATACTAGAGCCAATGAACTAAGTGTTTTCTCTCCTCCTGAGAGGTTAAAGATCTTCTTCCAACTTTTCTTAGGTGGCCGAACACTGAAATAATAATTCAAATCTTAAGAAAACTTACATTAAATTACTTGTGAAACTAAATTTAAGATTTAGTGATTTTTCAGAATTGATTTCTACTACTACCCTTAGTAATCTCTAATCTGATAAAAACGTTGGATGAACATAATGAACACCTGCCAAAATATGTTTATTTGGTAGATACTTCTTGCTATTACTCCTATTTGTCATTGCATTATTTGCTTTGTGTTTTAAAATCCCGTTACAATTAAAATGGCTCCAAAAATTAAAGGTAAAACTAGACAAATACTGCAAGCTGCCAATATACAAATTGGTATTTGTCAAATAAAGTTCTCACTTAAGAATTAAGACTTTAAGCATTAAAAGGAGAATGTAAAACTTTATATATAGTTACAAACCTGAACATGATTCCTTCTGAGAATGGATCCAAGCTATCTACAAGCTCCAGTTCTGCATCACCTCCCAAAGTAAGCATCTGGTAATTCTCCTTTAATTTATTTGTTATTATGTAAAAACCTGCCATGAATTCATTAAGCCTTTGTTTCCGAAGTTCTTCATATGCCTGTCTAAAATTATCTCTCTCACATGTTATTTTGTCCAATTCTGCTACCCGTTGTAAATATAATTCTTCCTATTAAAAAAAAAAAAAGCGTATCATGAGAAAAACATTCAGCTAGAGGTCAATTTAAAAAGTAAATAAGATAATTCATACCTTCTTTTTATACTCTGCAATGGCACCAAGGTTTGGTTTCATTTCATGACACTGGGCCTCCAAAAGTGCAATTTGACTTGTTATAGAATCTGGATTCTTAATTGCTTCAAGGTCCTCTTGGCTTAGAACTAAAATCTCTTTGATAGGGCTATCTTCTATGGGATGCAGTGATATTTTTGAAATCTAAATGTTCAATTAATATGACAATTAGGGAAGGCACAGTATTAAAAATCATTGATAAAAACAAAGGCAAATTCCTTATTAAAAGAACACTAAACTCAAGAAAGCCATTGATAGTGTTTGCAGTGTCTATGCAAACTTGTTAAAGGAGCCCTGGATATGCTAATTCTAAACTTTGTCCAATTTTTGTTTCGGTATATATGGAACTCAGAGTCACAGAACACCTCAAAATACACACAGAAACAAAAATCCCAGGTATATTTCATAAAGGATATTTTAAAGTTACACTTAACTAACTGGTAGTATCCTCACCTCTTTTTGCCAATACTTTATTTTAGAATTATGTTCAGCAATGTGACCATCTATTTGCTCAAGTTTCAACTTAATACTCAGTGCATCTTTTTGAAGAGCATGTTCATTTTCTTGGATTACTTTTAGTTCTTGGAGTAGATTACGATGTTCTTTCTGGATCTCTGGTAAAGATTCCTAAAAACCAAGAGAAACTACTTCAGATATGACCTTCCCAGATGGAAAGAACAGGTATATAAAGATGAAGCTTGCAATCTTCCCCCAAATCCCTTACAGTACAAATAAAAACTAACACATTTTAACACACTGAGTGTATACTATATATGCAAGGTATTGATGTCATGTTTCTTACTCTTCAATGACCACTGCTTCTCCCTTCAAGTCTCACCTCTGCATTATTTGTGTTCTTTATAACCTCTGTTGCTTTGTCCTCAAGACTTTTTAGTTCTGCTGTTAAGTCGTCTACTTCTTTCTTAGTATCTTTTATTTCTTTCTCCGTGCAAAAGACAGAGTCTTGTGCCTTTTTAAGATTTCTAAAACAAGCAAAAAACTTTAAAAATGTGGTTAACATGATTCTACTCTGCTTCTGAAATCTTACCAACTTCCCATCATATTTTTCTGACACATCTAAAACTTGTGACTAAATCCTTGAGCTAGTTTTATGTTTATACATATACCTGTGGGATGTTACACATCTTAAACTCTCACTACAAATCAATGAAACTCACTATAAAGCCAAAAAACTCTCAAAATCTCTCAATTAACATATAAATTCTTATAAGTGTTTATAATTCAACAGTTTACATGCATTATGTGATTCATTAAAAAAATTCAATAGATTATTCTAAAATCAACATAAAAACAAGATCCGAATGGATACTGTGCAAATTAGGGAAATAATATTTTTTGCTAATGTATCATTCTTACCCTCTTAGTCTCCCAAGATCAAGATCTATTTAAATTAGCCACAATTAACATCTGAGCCAGAAAAATCAAAAAGCTTGATTTCCATGTCTTAAAGCAACTAAAGTTATAAATGTGCCAAGGCACACCTGTTTACCAATTAAAAATAAGTGGTCATTTATTTATGATCATTTTATCATTATCACTTCCCCTTTCTTTAATTAGATAATTTCAGTAAATAGAAATATTTAATTGTCTTCACATTCAACTATAAACCCCTTTCCAATGTGGTGAAATCAAAGAGGAAAAAGACTAGATAGTATGCATACTCTACCTGTCTGCAGTCTTGATTGCTACCTGGGCTTTAGTAATAGTAGAAGCACATTCATCCAATTGTTTGTTTATTTTATCAAGTTTGTCTTGCTGGGCCTTGAGTTTATGGTTATTGATTTCTACAATGATATTGTGTAACCTTTTAACCTCAGCTTCTACCTTACCAGCTTTCTCTGCCACACTGTCATATTCTGAAATCAGAAAAAAAAACAATTCAAATTTCTAAAGCACTCAGATAAAAATTTCTTCAGTCAATAAGACTTGATGTCAACACAAACAATATCAAAAGGTTAAAATTCCCTTGCTCATCGATGAACACAATTGCTTATTTCTCAACAATTTCAAAGCCTAAAGTTCTTTTCAAAGATGTCAACTTTTTCTTAACGAACTTCCTTAATCATTGCTTTCCATTGCTTTACCCTTTATGTGCCTAGCAATTAACTCACTCTCTGCTGGTTTTCTATTTTACTTACTTTTACAAACTTTTAAGAGTAAAGTAACAAACCATAAAAACTCAGTTACTTGCATGTAGTACATATAGCTGTTATTCTACAAACTGCTACCTTGAACATTTCAAACTTTAAAAACTTAATTTTGACAATTAAAAAATCTATATGCTTAAATATACCTGTTTTGAAAGCACTAACATTTTCTTCTAGTAGTTTCTGCTTTGTTTTGTCAGGGGCTGTAGCAAGTACATTAGCTTCAAGTTCTTTAACTTGGACACTCAAATATTCTTCTTGCTCCGATAAACGCTGAAGAATGTTTTAAAATTCAAGATCAACATTTAAAAACTTTGTAACATTTAAACATTGTGATATTAAAAAACACTTAATGCCACATTTTAGTAATCAGTGTAACAAACTTACAATACACTGAAAACTATCAAGAGTTCAGACTTGAAAATAAATACTTACATATACTGCCAGCAGTGTATCAACATTTTAAATGACAATTTTGCAATACATAATGCGTCTTATGCAGTGTATGTACTAAGAAACAACTGTAATTTTAGGAATAAAAACAAAAAAAAAAAATTGGAAGCGTATACCCAAGAAAGTTATATAGATAGCACAGAAAACCATTTATCAAATTATTAAAACATTTATCAATATACAAGCAAAATGCTCTAATGCAATTTCAAACAAAGTAAATTTACATTGGCTTGGAAATAAAACTGTGAAGCCAAGTTAGTACGATTCCTTAAAATTACATATATTTGTATATCTCCATCTACCACAAAGTGCAAATTAGGCATTTACATTAAGGAGTTGAATAATGTACATAAAAACCAGTGATCTTTTGCGTACTACTTGAAAACTTTGTTTTTGAGAAGACAGTTGGTGTGCAAGGAGAATGAAAATAAACGCTCACATAGTTGTTTAGGAAAGACACATTTCTATGTAGTACAAGTGGGAAACAGTACTGGCTGTGGCTGACACGGTGACAGTGTGTTTATTCATGAACACTCAGGGAAACAAAATATCAAAAGACAGGTCCTCTATCCAGATGTCTTACTCCTTCCTTATAATTTAAAAATTGTTAGCAAACAAAATAGTTTTGCTAAAACTGTTGAATTCCCAAAGTCTCAGCTACAATTGTTAGGAGTACCTGGATGCTTGCAGTAAACTTTTCTAGTGTATTCCCCATTTCCCGAGCACTATGTCGTAACTTAATTGCTGCTTCTTCCAGTTGTACTTTCTTTTCCTGAATTTGTACTGCCTTCTCAGAGTCTCTCTGCAACTGCAATTCCATTTTATTTACCTACATAAGAGTATTAATGAAATAAGCAAGTCAACTTATGCATTAAGAAAATTAAATACTAGAACATATCAGCAATGAAGTTTTGGTGGAGGCTTAGCAAAGCATAGACACAAAGGTATGAAATTATAGTTATCAAAATCATAGTTATGTAAAAAAGACTGACAAAAAGCCTAGAATGGTAGAAGTACCATTATATTACTACTAAGCTTAAAAGTAGTCAATTAATTTCTCTATAAAGAAACCAGAAGAAAAGACAATTTTCTAATTGTACAGTCACCTATTAGTTCAATGACATTACATTATCTAAGTATTTAAGTGGGGAATATAAATAGTTTCAAATATGGGGGGGAAATCAAGGCCCAACTGGAATATAAAACATCCAAGTATGTCTTACTAAGGATGAAAAAAGTTTAAGTTGTGTTCTGAGGATAAAAATGGGACATGACAGCTATTCCTCAACATTTTAACATCTTCGTATACTTTTGGCACCTAAAGTACTTTAAAATAAAATTTGGACACCTGTCATAAGTTTTCACTAACAAATTATTTTGAAATTAAAAATAAATGTGTAATAAAGCAATAATTATGTGGGGAAAACCCCACAAAATTTCAGCTTATATATTAATATTTATAATAAATCCAATCTTTTAAAATTTTAGTACAGGATACTTAAAATGGCTAAACTTTCTATAGCATGTATATTATATATATCAATAGCTATCTGAAAAAAGTTACGACTGTAATGCTAACCTCCTCTTCAGAGATTTCAACAACTGATGAACCCATCCTTCCCTTCATTACTTTGCTTCCTCCACCGGTCATTGTACCTGGAGAACAGAGGAGAGAAGTCAGCTTTAGGTATCTTTTCTAATGAGATGAACAAATTAAAATAATTTGAAGGAAAAGAACCACTCTTACCTGACTGTTCTATGATTTGCCCCTGTAAAGTCACCACTCTCCATCTTCTATCCTTTTGATATGCTACTCTTGTGGCTTGATCTAAGTTGTCAGCTACTAAGGTGTCCCGTAAGGCAAAATAAAATGCTTGCTGAATTTTCTCATCTTTTACTTTTACCAAATCAAACAAACGAGGAGTATTTTCAGGAGTTTGAATTTTGGTCATTTTCTTTGCCCATACCGCCATCTAAAAGGAGAAAGAAGGTGTAGTGGTGGGGGAAAAACAAAAACAAAAAACCCCAAAGCAACATGTAATAAATAACTCGTAAATTTCTGGTATCATCTACACGTTATATACACACATACATATATGTGTAAATAAAAAAAATATAGGATGGGCAAAAAGATCTTGAGTACCTGATAACTGAGTATCATTTTACTTTTTAAAAATTATTGTAAAACCATCCTGGATGTCATGACACAAAGTCCAAAGGAATGAACGAACATACACACATACACACCCCATCCACCAGAGTGAATATGATTTTAAGTCGCAGAATACAAGATAGTCAAAATTAATTGTAGTTCTACATCTAGGAATAAGATTATACCTTCATTATTAAAAACCTTAAAAAACTTAGGCATAGGCCCTCCCTGGTGGCGCAGCGGGTTAAAGCACTGCACTGAGAAGCTAAAAGCCACTTCCACAGGAGTTCGATTCCCGCCTGCCCCGGAGGAGACCACATGGTGTGGCAGACCTCTCCTGGCCCGCCCGCTGCTCCCCTCAGCAGTGTACTTTGTGATTCTGCCTGTTCTGCTCCCCACTCTGACTCTGGTGAAGACTCTCACCACCCCTGAGCCTCTGGCCTATACCCCAGTTCTGTATGTACAAATAAATAAATCTTTAAAAAAAAAAAAAAAACTTAGGCATAAATTTAAAAAACAAAGACCTATACATTCAAGACTGTAAACCATTATCACATAAAATCAGATGTATATAAGTACACGCCTTATTCATGGTTATGGTTATAAGATTTAATATTGTTAAGATGTTAATACTATCCCAATTGACCTACAGATTCAATGCAACCTGGTCAGTTGCTTTTATTCCCCCCAGTAATTGACCAGCTAATCTTAAAAACCATCTTGACATTAAAAAAAATTCCTGATTTCAAAATTTAATACAAAGCTGCAGTAATCAAGACATGGTAGTAGTACAAGGATAGAGTTCAAAATAAAACCTACATTACTAGTAAGCGATTTTTGACAAAGGTGGTAAAAAAATTCAGTGGGGGAAAGAATAGTTTTTTTTTTCAACAAATAGTGGTGAATGACTTGATATCCATATACACAAGAGTGAAGATGGACTTCTTCACATAAAAAATTAAATGAACATGGATTAAAAACTAATTTTAAAAGCTAGAACTGTTATAACACCCAAAACACACATAACTAAATTTTTAAAAATTAAATTTATTTCTTTAATGAACAAATGGCCAATAAGCACATGAAAGATGTGCAAAGAGTCAACAGGATGAAATAGCAATAATCACAGGATACCAACTTTATATTCACAAAGATGGCTATAATAAAAAAAATGACATAACAAGTGTTGTGAGAATGCAAAGAAACTGGAAACCTCATGCTGCTAGTGGGCAACTGCAGCCACTGTGGAAAAGCCAGGAAGTTCCTCAAAAAAATTAAACAGCATGTAGTCTAGCAATTACACTCCTAGATACTAACCTCCTAGATAATAACCTAAGATAACTGAAAACAAGTGTTTGAACAAAAGCCTGCACATGAATATTCACAGCAGAATTAACCATAAAGACCAAAAACTGAAGACAACCCAGTTGTCCTTTCATAATGCAGTGACAAATGCAGTAATACATTTTAATGACTATTATCCTGCCATAAGAAGAATTCAAGTACCATTATATGTTACAATATGGAACAGTGAAAACCTGTTAAAGCTTTTTTTATACAAAATGGCCTGAACAGGTGTATTTAGAGAAACAAAAAGTTGATAAGAGGTTGCTGTGGGGAGTTAGTTTGGGAATGACTGCTATAATGCATGTGGCTTCTTTTTGGGGTCATGTAAATATTAAAAAGGAATTCAAAATGAGAAACAGGATGTTTAAAATTTTTAATTAGAGACAGCTTACTACAAAATACCCACCTTATCCAAACCGATGAAGGTCGCAACTCCAATATTTTGTCTTTTAAGGAAGTTTACACATTCTTGAGCTGTGTCAATAGAATCAACAACAATGTAGTCTAGTGCATGACAACAGGATGAAATAGCAACATCGTATTTTTCATCAATTGCTCCTAAGTCCCCCTAATAATTAAGAAAAGGAGGAAAAATCAATACATAAATAAAAAGCAAAAAAGACAGTATCATTTCATTACAACTCACATGGTATTTTTGTTATTTTGATTGAAAACACAAATTATACGCTGGTTTGTAAAATTCCAAGAAGGGAACATAAGGAAAAAAATATTTAGTGTCTTCAACCTTCCATTTCTGCAGAGGCAGTCACCATTTGAGTTTTAAATTTGTCTTAAATGTATAGGCATGAGAGTTGGTACTTTCTAATGAAAGCATAAATAGAACTGTTTACATTGTATGAAAATGAAAATGTGAAGATTAGACATCTAAATGTACTATAAGCAAAATAATTTATGAATTTGTGAAACTTTGAATCACTGAAAGTCACCTAACATGCAATTTGTGATGAAAATATTCACCTATTTATACATCTATGAATAAATTAAAGGCACATTCACTGACTAGCTTTATTATCTCTCAGAGCAAGTCAACAGGATTCAACTGTGATTCTTCAAGTAAGTAAGGTAGAGTTGCTTGACATTTGCTCATTTTCAACTGCCATTCTGAATCTTTCCAGAAAGTTTACTCAGGGAATTTATCAATGGGTTCCTTTGGTTCTCTAGCTTTAGATAATGAGAGGTACCAGGCCAGAGATGGCAGGGAAGGAGATTAAGTATTCTGAAATATATTTCCTATGTTTCCCCTAGACCACCTTTAAAAACTGTGGTCATAACTCTTGCCTTCCTTGGGCCTTAGAGGACTGGGCTCTGTAATTGCTAGCTTTCCCGACGTGATTCCTTTTTGATATCCCTACAGCCATGTTAGAATAGTGGTGTAAAACCCTAAACAGAATTATCAAGTTTGTCACTACTAGAGTTAGTATTCCCCACTTGGTATTCAGATTGTAATTAAAAAACAAAACCAAAAAAACCTGAAATCGCTTTTAATGAGATTCCACATCACAAATAATTTTGTCAGAAGAGCAAAATGTTTAAAAATGAATGCCCTCTAATAAAATGATTGCTATGGCATGTACAGTGGTAATATGTACATAAAAAGGGAAGTAAAGATAAGAAAATCATTTTACAAGATTATATTGAGAAAAAGTTGTTCCTAAATAAATCTACCTTACCAATCTTCCATATATTCCTGGAATCCTGCCAGATCTTTTTTCTTGAATTATTGCATCAAGGACTTTGCCCCTGCTTCGATTCATTGCTAAGGAACTCTTTGCTTCTTCAACTTTTTGGAAAAGATCACGAACCAAACTCTTGAAATTTATTTCTTCTTGTGTAAGTTTTTGAAGTTCCTTTTCTTTCTAAAAGTGAAAAGAAAATAAATCCCAGATCATCTGCCTAATCACAGAACAGAATTAGCTGTAATATTCAAAAAAATATCAAAAAAGGTAAGGAACATCAATAAACACTTAAACAAGAACTTAGCTTTCATATTATAACTGCTGATTTGGCTTTGAAAAATCTGGATGGTTATCAATTCTCGGCCTTTCAGCAAAGAACAAGTAAAAAATACAGGTGGGCAGAAATTATGAGTATAAATAAGGAGTTTAAGTGCAATACAGCTCAGGAGCAGTGCATTAATGGAACAAGTAGAACTGGCTTGAGGATATCCCATCTAGGTATCACATAATTCACACAAGAGTCCTAACAAAAGTTCTGTTCTAGTGAAAAACAGATGGTGGTATAGGAAGCTAGTAGGTATGGCTGACTGGGCTTTTTAAATGATTTTATTTATTGTACACCATTAAAGAGGGGACCACACGGCTGTGAAATAAACAAATCCAAACTCAGTTTTTCAATCACTAAGTTCCATTTTTTAAAATAGTCCCATCTCCTTTTTTAAAGTTGTATCAGTTATATCAGTATAAAACAAAAACTTGTTATAATTTCTCAAAATTAAACCATATCACTACAAAAAAGGAAGTAACTGGATGTGACTTAAGCTTACATGAAATTCTATGTACTCTTATTTAAAAATTCCCTGTAAACACAACAGTGTGTACTTCCTACAATAACTTTTCAGTATAATTTCTCTTCAAATGACATTTCTATTGCCATTTTGCCTAGTGAGGCTTTAGAGGTTAAAGCTATCAAATTCCTTTTTTATATATAATTCACCTGAAGGATAGAAGGGACACCAATGAGCTAAAAGTTAGTTCTCTTGACTAAACGGTTTGCAATTCCAACACAGAAACTTTATCTATAAATTTAAAAAACAAAAAAATACACTGATTAGCCTTCATTCATTCATTCATTCATTCAAATTTCATTCATTCAAATATATATGCACATAAGTCTGTTCATTTGTTTACCCTTGCATAAGTTGTCTACATATAGATTTAGGGTACTCAACCTCTTCTTAAAGTATTTCCATAGGGTGCTGGTAGTGGCAGTAGTACTTGCTGTTTGATACTTCCGAAGATTACACTAAATGAAATAAGACCCATCTAACAGTCACTTTAATGTTGAAATTAAAATAAAACTAGGGCTGATAAGCAATATAAAGATGAAATACAGAAACAAAGGTTTACCTCCTTTAGTTCTTGTTCAGTTTGAGGAAGTTTTGCCTCTATGTCTCTGATCGCAGTTTTCCTTTCTTTGAGAGTCTCAGAAGCTGCAATTAAAGCTTCCTTGGCCTTATTTAACTGAGACACTGCAGTATTATGACGACTGAGATAGATATCAAGTTCTGACTGGGCTACATCCATCTTTGAACGTGCTTCATTTACTGATTTGCTGAAACCCATAAGTTCTTTCTCTCGACTCTGTTATAAAATGAGACTCATTAAATATGAAATGTTTTCAAGTCAAAAATGAAACTATACGCTCTGAATTTAACTTAAATTCTGCAAGGATAATATACAGAATTCTTAACAAGTAGAATAAGTAGTTTTTGCCTAATTTCAAGACTCATGGTACAAGTCTTTTCCTAGCTGATTTCACAAGCACTTACTGAGTTCTCCAGTAAGCTCATTTTAGAAATTAAAACAAAAAAGAAACCTCTGAAAGAGAACTAAACTCCGTAATTGTTCCACATTTTACCTTACCTGAAAAAGGCTGCCCATTATAAGTACTACTTAGTAGCAAGTTTCATCAAGTATATTTATCGTGAAAATCTTTGTTTTAGAGGTAAGACTTGGTAATCCTCACCACTAATCATTATTTGGTGAATGAGAAATTTGTGCTACTATTTTTGGTTGGGTCTAAAGGACCTCATATTTAGAATAATGGCATAAAAAAGGTCCTTTGGAAAGTCTAACCCTTTCATTTTAAACAGAGTGATGTCCAAGTTCATCAGACAATCAGTTTAAATGCTTGATGGTAAGAAACATAACCATACACAAGTTGCTCTCTAGGTTCTAGGCATTATTCTGAATACTTTATAGATATTAATCCTTAACAACCCCACTACACAAATACCATTATGTTTGATATGAAGAAACACGCCAGGGTTTAACTCTAAGTCACTTACTCACTAATAGGCAGCACAAGATTAGAGACCTAGGATTTCAACCATGAATTGACTGACACCAAGAGCAATGGTTTTCATTTACGCAAGAGCTACAGAAGCAAAGCAAGACATCAATTTGTACTTAGTATGCCCCATAATTTTTTTGTTGGTAACTCATTAAGTAATCAAGAAAATAATTTAAGATGAAAAAGAAAATTTGGTGATGAAGTCGACACTAAGTATTTGACATGTCATATTTTCTACTATCACAATAAATTCTCATTTGGTTAACAATTTCTTTTGAATGGAAAAATAGAAAACAAAAAGAAATGGCTATTATGCTTAATATTAAACATTAAAAGCCCCAAACCTTTCCTCCAAATAGTTCAGTTTTCACTATGGCTGCAAAAACAATCCTCTTGTTTTAAAGTCACTAAAATAAACACCAACTAATAAATAATCTTACTTCTTTTTCTTTCTGAAGCCCTTGTGTTTCCTGTTTAAGGCTATCCATAACTTCCTTTAGTTTTTCTTCTTCTCTCTCTTTTTCTTTCTCAAGAGCATTTCTTCGAGTTGTGGTCTCAGTTATTATATTTTCACTTTTGGCAGGTATACTTTTAAATTCTTCAACCTAAAGTTATTAAAAAAAAGTTTAAGTTATAAGATGAACCTTTATACTGTGCAATGCCATCAACATTTAACTTTCCACATTGCATGGCAGACCTCTCCTGACTCGCCGGCTGCTCCCCTCAGCAGTATACTTCATCTATCTGCCTGTTCTGCTCCCCACTCTGTCTCTGGTGAATCCTCTCACCCACCACATCTCTAGCCTGTACCCCAGTTCTGTACCAGGAAATAAATCTAAAAAAAAAGGTAGATTTGATATAGCTGGCTTTAGCAAATACTCTTAATCATCCTCTGCAATATCTTTATTTGCTGAGTCTAATAGTAAAGCTGTTCAGTAAATTCTTGGTTCATTATGAGTAAAATTCTCGCTAGCTAGGCAACTGAGTCTACTTCTGTTCCAGTTATAGGCTGTAATTATCTTTCTTCACCTACATGACTAAACTACCTTGGTGGTATATTACAACTTTACTTTCCCAGAGTCATCACTGTAGGACTATTATTTTATGCATTAAAACCTTCTGGTAATAATCAAGTGTCTATATTTGATTTCTAGACATTAATGGCTCTGTATCAGTCTGTCCAATTTTGTGTTTACTCTCAAATATTTGTTATTTTGTTTATTCAATAGCAGAGAAATTGAACATTTTCCAAAATGGTGTTCCTCAAACACTGATTCCCAGAGCATCTGCTATCTGGTCAAAAGACACTGTGAGTAAATGCAACTCATTCTCTTAGACAACTCGACAAACACATGCATAAGAAATTATGAAGACTAGGTATTCAGGCAAGAAAATTTATTGCCTTTTTTCTTCACACACATTTTACACCATCATTCTCCTGTCAGGTGTAATCTCCATGGTTTTTCTTTTTTGTTTTTAAATGGCATAACATTCGTTTACAAAAATACATTCACACCTCAAGTAAGGGCTCCCTCCCCTCCACAACCCACCTTTTCTTTATCTTTTTGAAGTTGTTTCTCCAGTTTTTTTGCTTTACTTGTAGCATGCTTCAATTTTTCCCTAACCTGAACATCTTCCAAATCCAACTGTGTAAATTTTTCTTTATTCTCCTCAATGAACTTTGTAATTTTATTCAGTTTCCTAGCAAAACAAGAAAAAAAAAAAAGCCAATACCTTATAAAAAAGTATGTATATGGACTTTTTTTTCTTTAAAAAGATTTATTTATACATAAATACAGGAGCTAGGGTGTAGGCCAGAGTGTGTGTGTGACAGGGTGGTGGTTTGAGAGATTTACCAAAGATAGAGTGGAGAGCAGAACAGGCTCATTGAAACACAGTACTGAGGGGAGCAGCCAGTTTCAGAGAGGAGAGATCTGCTATGCCATGTGAGTGAGGTCCCTGGTTGGGGACTGAACTCACAACTGCTACAGTGGCTGGTGATAGCTTGACAGCAGTGAGACTTTATAGCTCCTGTGCTACCAGGGAGCCTGTAGACAGTTTAAGACAATTAACTCCTGTTCTGGTTACATGCTTATTTATTTTTTGCTGTGGTGGTTTGTTACTGTGTTCTGCCACTAGGGGGTAGCATCCCCCCTTACTTTAAGATGAGTGCTAGCAATCTGAGGTGATTAACTAGATGCAGGGCAATTAAGATTTTTGTTTGCAAAAGTAAACTATTTTATACATTACATGCAAAATACTATCTTACACATGTGTGTCGATAGATACATGTGTGTTGATTAAGTACATGTAATAGAAATTAAAGAAAATATTTTTAACATTTTCAAAAGATTATTACTTCTCTCTATCTTTTACAGCTTTATTCTTAGCTTTCATTTCATTTGACAGTATACTGCTCTTCTCATTAATTTCTTTGGTATCTTCATGAATTTTTTTCTTTTGAGATTCCATTTCAGCAATTCGTTTCTGCAGATCATAACTAGAAGGGAGAAAAAAGGAATGGGTAATCCTTCGGCAGGGACCATTTCTAAAGCTGTAAGAAACTTGAGTAAAACCTGTTAAGTATTCTTAATTACATTACACCTGACTACTGAAGGAAAAAGACAACTCAGGTGTCAAGGCTAGAAAATTAAGAGGTTAGGGTTTAAAAGAATTAAATTTGCTAGTATACAAATTTTAAAAATGTCTGAAATTATTTAGTAAATACTTTTTAAAGGATTTTATTAAGTATAGTGATTCTACTTCCCAATGTAAAGTAGGACACTTAAAAATGAACCTTCAATACTAAAAATAGCCCTAGATAAATGCATTGAACACTTTACATTTCTTGAGTTTAAGACAAGAAGGGCTTTAGCTTAATTTCAGAACTGACAAAGTACTTACATGTAATACTGACAAACATGATTCTTTTTGCTAAATATTTCATTTTCCAAGGTGAGAAATTCGATGGCTATGTTTTTCTCTCCTTCTAAGGCATCCTTTTCCTTTTCCACCATCTTAACTCTGTTTAGCTATAAAAATTAGACATGCATTATGTTCAAATAAGCCACTTATATGCACAACTGAACTTAAAATATGCCAACACTAGATAAAAACATCTACTTAAATGTAAAAACAAAATTCACCTAACATTCCATGTACTTGATAATTATGACCTATCATAATGTTAATGATTCAGTATAATTTAACTAATCTAAGAAACATTCTGATTTGTAACAAGTCTACAGAAAAGTCACCTTCTCTCCTCTGTGTTCATTTAATATTTCAACTCTCCGACACAAGACTTTAATGGGCTCATTTAGTCGTCCACAACCAATTATATCTTCTAGATATTCAAGCATACCCTCGTCATGTTCAGTCTGGCCTTTTGGTTTCATCATAGCAATTTGTTCAACTTCACCCTTAAAAAAAAAAAGTATTATTTCACATTGTGTATGTTTAGCTACATCAATCCTAAGTGAGAACTAGAAACAAAAAACACAATAGTAAACTACTAAAGGATGCACCTTTATTTAACTAAAGAGATTTTAACAAGTTAAAACTATACTCTAAACTGATATTAAAAAGCTTAATTTTACATGAGGGGATACAAGATGTCTTTTTACACTGACTCATAAAATTATATCCACAAACGCAAAGAATCTCCACCTAAAAGGTATTTCAATATATTCACTTTTTTATTAATCATAATTCAACTAGGTATTCTTTCAACTATGATTTAAAAAATGTGGCAACATTGTGAATAACAATTAGTACTCCTATGCTAAAACAAAGAATTCTTTAAAAGACCATTTATGGTTAGAATATACAAAGAGTCCTGCCTCAAAAGTGGTTGTATAGTTAAAACTTTATAACCTGAGCGTTAGTACTGGCTTTCAAAAAGTTATCTCAAACTTTAAGCTTGTAATGTTTTAAAAACAAATCACTTATTTTTCATGGCAATAAAAAATATACCCAAGTGAAAAGGTCCCAGTACATACTGACATTAGAGAACTCTGTTCTCAATCATTAAGATAACAAATTTGAATTGTAATGAAAATCTTAAACGAACATTATATATTTGTATTTAGGCAATGTAATTATAAAGAAAAAGAAAAAAACCTGCAAGGCTGACTGCCAGTCATTTATCTGATGGCTAAAACAATTCTGTCTGACATGCTCAGGCAAAGGCTGCTACTTTACTTCACAGCAGCAGTTTGCCTCTACTACCACACAGAATAAAATGGACAGGCAAGTAGAAAATATCTGTATCCTTTAATTTCAGCAAAACCAAAAAAGAATCAAGAAAAACATCGTATTAAAAAGATGTTATTTTCTCAATTTAAATATTTAAAATACCCATTTAAGAACATTAAAAATCTGGACAATGCATTGTATTTATCCGAAGTTTCAACATAATTATAAAAAGTAAAAAAATAAAGATGGTGAGCAGTTGTGTGTGTCTCACTACTGTGTTTTAAGAATTAAAGCAATTTGTTAATAAAGTCGCTAAACTCCAGTAAAGCAGAGAAAACCTAAGAGGTAGTTTTTGCCATACCAAGGAACCCACTTATTGTATAAACTTGGCCAGTTTTATACCCCAATCCCTGAAAATGACAATTTAGTTACATCTGTGCTAGTCCAGTACTATAACTTGTTTTTAATATTTTTATACATCACTTTCTGCACAACACATGGTCATCAAACAAAGTGAAATGTTATCCGAAGAGTGTTATTTTTCAGATTTCTTTTGTAAGCTTCAGAGTACTGTGTGTGAACTAGTATTTATATAAAATATTTTACTGCGCTTTTAATTATCACTTCTTCCCAAATGTTTGTAGCAATAGTTTAAATTTTAGACAAGATTTAAGCCTAGAAGAATGTCCAAAGTTCTGGATTGTAATCACAGCAGTTCCAGCCATTAAAGAAGCCAAAATCTTATTCCAAGTTTTTTTCTCCCTAATTTAAATGTAGGCAGAGTGACTATAGTAACAATACTACTATTCACATTTAGGTTAAATATACTTTGTTGTGTGTTTAGGGGGTACTGCATTGGGTATTGTAGGATGCTAAATAGCATTTTTTTGGATCCCTTCATTAGATGCAAGTAGCAACCTACCCACTTCTCAACCCTTAACAACCCAAACTGTCCCCAAACAATGCTTATGTCCTAGTGGAGTGGATGTAGTTGGTTAGTATTTACAATTCAAGTAACAAATATCCTACACCTGATTGTAATATACTTATCAAACTTCAGTATCTGAGCATTGATTTTAAGATGAATGAAAAACTGCAGTGAGAACCTAAACATCTGAATCTAATGGCCAAAGGAATTTAGTATTTAGTTTACAATGATAAAATTATTGAAGACATCACTTTTCCTAGTCAACTTCTTTATGTGATGGGATACAGCTATTAGGAGTTGTCCAGCTTTGGGTAAAGCAGTGATTGTTTTGATTGCTTGTTCCCTCTCAATTAAAATGAAGGACATTCAGCTATGGTTTCTATTCATTTTAACAAGATTGCCCAGTTGAAAAAAAATTAAGGGAAAGATGAGGACATCCATAAATTAAAATGTTCCTTCACAAATCTCAACATTGTTTAATAGTTATATAACAATTACTGTATTATCTTAGCAGGACTGCTGAATAAACATTTAGGTCTCTTGTCACTTGACTATTAGAACTCCAATGGCAACCTTGCACCTTTCCTGTGGCTGTTCCTTGTTTTTCTCTTGCCTGTCTTACCACTTGCTACTATTTATTTTCTTCCTTTTCCCATTTTTGTGCCACTTCATATGCAATCTATGACTGACAGTCTGATTTTTCAGAAAATTTGCTGATTTCATGTGAAATTAGACAATACAGATCTAAATTAGGACCCAAATTTCCATGTTTCAAAATGATTTTAAAGCATTAACTGGAATTTAAAGTCATACTTCCACATTAAGACTCAATCACAAACAGTGGCAGCACAATTATACAAAAAAGTTTCAAGTTAAGGCTAACAGTCAAAATTGTATGGCATTCTGTACTTCTAACAAACTTCATACTTTAAAAATTATGTTCATACTATATCAGACATTAAGAAACCATGGAAAATACCTATGCTTTTTAAGTTTCATAAAAATAGCAAACATATCTCAAGAGTGTATAAAGATCATGTCCCCCCCAAAATCAAATGGTGTTCTAAATCCTAATTTATTGAAACTAATGACACTGACTGACAGTTTATAGGAAAATGGCTTAAAAAATCTAAGAGAAACAAGCATGATGATCTTTACCTTAATGGAATAGGAATTTTAGCAAGTTAGGAATCATAGGAAATCCAGTACACATTTACAGTAAATTTTTTCATAATAAGGTCTACAGGTAGGCTTTTAAAGATAAAAAATGACTAAATGACTATCTGCATCAAAATTTAATTTCCCAGAATCATAGGACTTTTTAATTTTGCCTTACAATCTTTTAATATTCTCCATTTTCACTGCAGTATATTCATCTTCTAATAATTTTTTTTTTAGCTACCTAAATTAACTAAATAGTAAGAAAAAAAAGCCTGGCTCTTGTTTTAAATTTTAATTTGATTTTTATAAGTATAATTTGAAGACAAAAGCACATGTATCTGAAAACTTTGAAAAAACTAAAATTGTGGTTTAGTTGTAAGTGTTTTAGGTGTCTACAAAAATACTGAGACAGCAAATAAGGAAATTTTTAAAGTGAATGAAGCAAATAAACCAAAACCTATTAAAATCTAACTTATAAGCCATAGCTCCCATGAAATGTTAGGCAGAACTAATAAAACCACCTTATTTATTGGCACTAAGAGTTATAGCCAGAGGACACAAACTCTTAAATAGAATATTTATAAATGGAGAAATATATAAACATGGACAGCACAATGGTCAAGTGTAATCTAATACCTTTCAAGGCAAAGAGATGCTTTGTGCCTTTAAGAACAAGAAACAGGATTTAACCATGTTTGTACCATTTATAGCATCTTAGTAGGGTGCCTTATTCGATACTCATTTGGTCAACTGACCAATTTTTTAAAAGGATTCAAATACTAGAAATACCTACAAATAAATAACCTCCAAATCTAATACATATAACTGAAAAACAAACAATAAACTTTGAGGGTTTTAAAAATTTATTGCTTTTTAACTTCAAAATTTTAGCTAAGTTCAGATTTCTTATGTTGTTATATCACCACCATTGGCTCATACATTTTATTCAAAGTAATCACATGCCTGGTGGGGTGGTATTATGGTATCTTTAAGTTCCCAGACTTCCAAACCACAGCTAATTCTTAAGAAACATTATTCAGTGGGAGAGAAGGTAACAAAACCACATTCTTACTTACCTTCTCATGCTTTATTGTCTCTAGTGCAGGAATCTAAAATTCTGATAAGCAACTAAATAAAAATCCATAGAAACCACTGTTACTTTCCCTCATACTTTTAATAGGGTATCATTAATTCTACCTAGTCCAATCCTGTTTCTTCTTCCTAACAGGTGAATTCCTAAAGGTTCTTATCTGTAAATTTAATCAAATGGAATTGAATTTGTTAACTTGGATAGTTTACACTGGTTATTAAGAACTTGCTTTAAACAATTTATCACAACATAAAAAGGTTGAGATTATTATGACGACAATCAGCATAACCAACCTAGTTATTTCAGAAGCATGTTTTTATCATAAAATTGACAATTCAAAATTATTTTATTTACTTCTTTGGGAAGAATTCTAAATGTAGTATATTTAGTTTCCTTTGTTACTGAATTATGTACAGAGACTACCCATCAAGGGAAAAAAACTACCCTTACAGGGGTTAAAATTTATTTAGTCTATTTAAATGATTCTTTATATGGGTGTAAAACCTGAACTGCTTATTTCAGCATAATAAATAACAAAAGAAAAACACCAATACAGTTTCTTACTAATGATATCATTACCAAACAGCATTAGAAAGGGACTTAAAAGTTTCTATTCATAATCAAACCAAAGCCAAGAATATGAAGGTCCACAAAACATTTGATTAAAAACAAAACAGAAAAACCTACAAAGTCTTATTCCTACATTTATCTAATTCAAATCTTGTTCAGAATTTTGTTTTCAACTGACTTCCAACACTCACTTTTAAATAAGTTTGGGATACATAAGTATCACAAATGTAGTATGCCTAGCAATAAAGATATAAGTCCAGAAGATCAATTTATCCTGTACCTATACTATGTATATCTAAAAGTAATTTTCTTAAAAAAAAAAAAAAATGAATAAAAATTACAACGGAAAATGAGTTAACATTTTAAGCATTACTTGGTGATCCTTCTTAAAATTTTAGCATACAAACCAGAATTTCCAACGTATAATCAGCACTGTGGTGAAGACACTAAAGACTACCACCAGTTTTTCTACATTATTATGCTCTTGGCGATCTGGATAGGACACAAGCGAACAAGATAGCCTCAAAACTAAAAAGATTTTTAACACTTCTTACAAATTCATATTTTACACTAAAAATTATTTTTTTGCTTCACTAAGCAATGCTGGTAGAATAGCTTTACTGAGATAAAAAAAATGAAGGGTCTCTAAAATAGATCAACACCAGGTACTTGATTTTTATACTCCTAAAAAACAAACTAGCAAAAAAAAAAAAAAAAAACCAAAAACCCAAACCAACAAAACAATGAGATGCTGATACTTAAAATGAATCTCAGCTACTCTCTGATCTTCCAAAAGTTGTGGTTTAAGTAGGCTATTATAAACAAGACAAAAGCCAGCTTGAGTAAACTTTTATTAACCAACCCTTTTAAGTGACAAAAAGATTAAATTAGTTGCTCAAGTTTGTCAAATTCCAAGTGTACAGTTATCTTTATCTCTTTTGGTGTACAGCATTATTAAAGAATAAAAACAAAGGAAAAGAAGTATTCAAAAACGGAACTTCACTTAAAATATTTTCATAGAAGGAAATATAAAGGAAAATAGGTGCTATATCCCTGTCACGCTAAAGCAGCACAATAATATTGGTGTTTAATATTTATCTCACTACGCCAATATTTACGTGCTGCTACAGCGGAACAAGTAGGTTCATACAAAGATAAAATGAGGCTCAAAAGATGAATACAGCACTGAATGAATATCCTTAAATTTCTAGAGCAGCAAATAATGATTCGCATCTTGACTGTACTATGTAAACCATGATGTGCTGCTACAGTACTTTAAGGCCTCAAAAATACAGGATTCATCCAACAGGGAAAACCTCACTGGATTTTACTGAAGAAAAAAAAACAAGACTAAGAGCACTGTGCAGTCCTTAATAAATTTACCTGTAAGATTAAAAATCTGTTATGGTCCAAGTCAATTCCATGGCTTCGAAGAAGATTTCCAACATCTTTAAATGTTTTCTTCTTCCCACTTATGTGATAGACAGATGTATTATCTCTGTAGGCTGTTCTGGATACATAGAAGTTACTGTTAGGAACCACTTCATAATCATCCCCTTCCTGTTTTCAGGAAAAACAAAACCAGAAAACAATTATTATGGTCATGTCTTGTTCAAGTCACTTACTTCATTCTGAAACTAATTTTATAGATTAAAATCTTCAACAGAAAATAAAAACAGGCAACAGTTCTCAGAAATAATCTTAACAAAGAACAGGTATTTTTGCAAGTTGTATGATAACTTCCCTCATAGATTACAAACAAAAGTCAGACCAAACGAAAATCCCACTATAAAACAACCCTAAAAATAATTGACCAAGAATTAATGAAAGGGGGGTGGGGGAGAGACAAAGAATCCCACTATATGTAAAACCAATTCACCTGAATTATTAAGCTGCATTGTAAAAAACTAGTGCATTAAAAAAAAAAAAAAAAACCAACAAAACAACTGCAAAAGATGATTCAAGGAAGAAGGAAGTAATGAGGTAATATGGCTTATTTTCTTTTGCCCAGGGTGTATATGGGGGTAGGATGTGCATATGTGTGGAAGATTATGCCATTAATTGAAAGTAGAAAAGAATTACAAAGAATTGTGAATTCAAAAAGTCAAAATGAAGTGCAACTCTAATAAAATTCACTTTTCCTTAAAATCTGTAATTTTGAAATTAGCTTTTAAAATTAACATGATTCAAATGTAATTAACAGGGAATGAATGGAATAAAACCTGATTTACTGGAAATCTATTCTCCATCCAAATGACAAAATAGAAAGTGCCAAGAAGTAATCTACACACTAGTGTGTAGATCTAGTATATTTAAAAAATAACCCCCCCCAGAAGTTGTTTCATTATATAATATGGCTTGCTTTATTTTTGAAACCTGTATTTCTAAAATTAATAAACAGAAAAGGAAAAAACTAATACCAAAAAACCCTCCAAAAATAATCTAAAAACATTTTACCTATTATTGTATCCTATTCTAGAAAACATGTTAGCTTGACTCCCCTCCCCTGCTTTATAAGTAATTCACACTGAAGCAAGGCGGTGAAACTAGTCACTAAATTTTAAAATTCAGGCAATTTATCCAAAATAAGCCCAAAATTCATACTAAAAAATGCCTATTTAGCTCTCAGGATACTAGAACTGCTCTAAGTTTTTATTTCCCAAAAGGCAAACACTATAATAAGTCAGTTATAATTAATTTTCTAAGATAAAGTTTTAACATCTACATGACTACAGGAGGCAGAGAAATCAACATGTTCTACTTTAACCATAGACTAATTTTTAAAATCCAAATTCAGCCCAAAAAAGTTCAATGTATTGAAATTCGTCATGCTCCTTACTTGAATGTTGCAAATAAGCTACAGTCAAAACCCCTTACCTTATCAATTATCTTTTGAAAATGAACTTCTACCGTACAACTCTGAATATCCTTGTGTTCATCAGAATTGTGTATTAGTACAGAAAGTTTTTTAGATCTTATTTTTTGCGCTCGATAGCCAAATACAAAAAGCATAGAATCAATAACGTTGGACTTTCCACTGCCATTTGGCCCAATAATACAGGAAAAACGCTGCATAAAAGGAGAAGTTAAAGTGAAATTAAAAAGGGTCACACCAATACTACGGATTTTAAACTGCTCAAATTTTTAATTTGCAGCAAAACCACAAGTATTATTTTATCTCTACCAAACAAACTAAATTTTCTTAATTACATCTCCAGTTTGAGTATCTTTAAACCATATTGAGACACTTTAAATTTATTCCTATAGTCAAAGTTCTCAAACAAAAAACTTACGAATTCTATTCAGAGGAAAAGCTACAGCTTTTATGGTTAGCAGTTCTAAAGATAACTAACAAACAGTAAGCTAAATCATTGTTAAAAGTAAAGGAACTGTCCTTCTACTTATCACACTGGGCTAATAAATACAACACAAAAAATTCAAACATCTTTCGATAAAAACGATTACTTTACAATAGTCACTAAAATGGTCAAATACCTTATGGAAAGGTCCCAGGACTTTTTCACCAGCATAGGATTTAAAGTTTTGGTTTACAATATGAGTTATCATAAGCCGAGGAGCTCCAGCTTCATTGGTCATTGCTGGAGGCGGGGGAGGAGGGATGCTATTCAAAATCTCTTCCAAACTTCTATTATCCATTTCCTCACTTGGAGTCTCTAAGTCAAATGAAAGGAAATGGAAAGCAAGGTGGAAAATGCCTCAATTAGTGCAATTAGTTCGGAGGACATCTTAATCTCTGGAGATGAAACCAGAAATCTACCTAAATATACAGTATTATCCCAACCTAGCCCTAAAGATGATTTTATTAAAAAAAGTTTCTTTAGACCACCAGTCAACAAACTCCATAGGATGCACCTTTTTAAGACTCAAAACACTACATCAGCAAATAAGGAAAACCCACAACCTGATGCCCTGATCCAAGTTTAAGCAGGTGGTTGAATCCTAAGACTAGATCCAACCCGCGGAGGCATCTAGGAACACCAAACCTTTAGTTTGGGGACTCAAGAGCTCCAGCGACACTGTCATAGCAAGAGTCGTCCAATTCCTCAACTCACAGAAACTACAGCAGCTTCGAGTAAATTATGTCTTAAAACGCAATTTAAGAAAATAAGGTGACGTTGGGGCAATCAACTTTTCATTCTATAAAATTACCGACATGTTAGAAGTCTACTAGTTATTGGCTGATTGTGCCGATTTCCGTAAATACTAGGCCACAAAGTTAAGTTCAAATTGAAGCCTTTTACTTGCCCCTACGTCCTTCAGTACCTTTAAACAGAAACGGCACCAGAGTCCAATATCTGAAAATCGCCAGATCACTTTTCTTGAGTTGCCCCACGGGGCCGATCTCTAGAGCCACTAGACGTCAGCTCGCAGCCTCGATGGCACTTGTACCTCCACCCCGGCACGGATTCACGCGGGTCACCCATCCCGCCGTTCGCCGGCGGCGCGGACCCACCGGGTTCCCCAAGGGTGCTGGCCCGGGGGTAACGAGCCAACCGGACTTCCCAGCACTGTCTCCGCGGAGTCCACTCACCTGGGGCGGTGGGCTCGGATCCCGCGTCGCTGCCCGCACCGTCGGGGCTCTCCGGCCGTCCATTCTCAGCGCGCCGGGCGGTGGAGGGCTGGGCGCCTCTGCGCGGCATGGTCGCTACGCGGGAGACCCGGGGCAAGTCAGTCCCAGCCTGTCCGGCTCTAGGAAACCCGAGGGCCCTTCTTGAACCTCGCTCAACGCCAGGAGGGATTTGCGAAAGCAGGTAGGGCAGTAGGAAAACCAGACAAGCCCGGGGACCCAGCGCGGGTTCTTTCCTGCTCTGTGTCCCCAGCCCGTAGTGTTCAAATGTGTAAGGATATTGTGTCACTGCTAAACCTGCGACGTCCCCACGCTCGCCGGGGGTTCAGACTTCGGGAGAGTTCTGGATTGGAGGATCAACAACTCTCGGGAGTCAGGAGACCCAACGGCCGTGCGCGCCCACCCCTCTTCCGCGGCAAAGCTCGGAGCTGCGGACTGCGGGGCTGAAGTTTCTTCTACAGTCCCCCGGGAGAGGTGGCAGGAATGGGGTCTCCTCCACAAGCCACTAGGGAGAACGGCCCAGGCTGGCGTCCCCAGTCCACACCCACCCCAGCGCCGGCGGCAGGGTTGGGGTCTCCGCTCCGTGCCGTGCCCTTGAGTGGGGAGTGCCCTTCAGGGAGAGCACTTCAGGGTTCACTCTGGGACCGATCAGGAGGGGAGCAGGCGGGGCCGAGGTTCCGAGGGAGGTCTGCGAGACTCGGAGGCCACCCCCCCCCCCCGCCCCGAGCTCCAGGCAGCAGCGCGGGGACAGGCGGCGGCGGGGGAGGGGGGGCAACTCGGCCCGGCCGCTCCGGCCCTCTCCAGGCCTCCGTTCTCCTAGCGCCGCAGTAGCGGGAAGCGGGAGTGTGGCAGCCTCACCGGGGTAAGCACTCTACCTGCGGCGTGGTCCACTCGGACCAGAGCTGGAAGACGATCGTATACCCCCACTCCAGCCGGTGTTTGGGCTCCGGGTCCCTCACTCGAAAATGGCGCCTAAAATACAAACTCGAACGGAAATTCGTTACAAATGCGCGCAATGACTTCTGGGAGTCACTAATTTGAAAAAAAGTGCGGCCCTCATCGCCGCCATTTTCTGGCTTTCCAAGCGCATGCGCGAGTTTTCGCTGGCACACGGCGGCAGAGGCCAGTTCTGCTAAGACAGGAAAGCGTGGCAGTTTCCTTTAGGGCCTACTGCAACTACGCTGCTATAAGAATATTTTTTAAAAACCTGAAGCGTTTTTAAGAAGAGTTAAAAATAGGATCCCGCCCACAGATGGAGGTGGGGCTTCATCATCCAATAATAACTCTTTAGGAGAGGGCGGGCTCGCAGAGGGGCGGACTCTCAGAACCCCTCGCTAGGGAGACGCGCAGCGGGGGAAGTATCGCGGGATAAGGGAGGGAACCGGTAGGGCGTGGATTTTGCGTCTCCATGGTAACGGGAGATGGGGCGACTTACCTACTGAACCTACTTCGAGACCCTTAGCCTCTGCTTTTCCGGGGATTGGAGGTAAATCTCCACTGCTGGATGCGGAGAGGGCAGAGTTGGCAGTTGTGGCTATCTCTGGGGCCGCTTACTTACTTTGGGTGTGTGATAGCCCCCAGCATCCTCTCATCTCTGTCCCTCGCGTGGCGGGTGGGGCGCGGGGGTCTTTGCGGGGGCAGGGGGTGACGCTGACTGGCGGTGACTCTTCCTTTAGGGATGCGAGAGAGGAAGCCCTGGGTTAGGAAGGAGTGGAGGATAGGCTGTAGGAAAAGAGAAGAGACTAATTAATAATCGTGTAGTCCTTTGTGAAAAGGAAACAGTGATTTTAGTTGGTGTTGGGTCATTGGTGTCGCTAGTGAAAGGGGGCTTCGGGCTTTGAAAATCACCTGACTAAAGGACTCTGAATGGAAGAAAAGGTTCGCCAACATACTGCTTTCTTCTTTTTGAGGAAATGCTCGAACAGCAAATCTCTTATGTAGTTTTTGTATACTTTGCACTATGCAGGGCCTGATAAAAGATTTTAAAGCAAGTTTTCCTTTTCCCAGAGAACCTAGTTTTGTTTGTGGGTTTTTAACCTGGAGTTTGTGAATCTTGTAGTGATTAAGCATCATAGGAGATCATAACCCCTCTGAAATTGTATACAAAATTTTGTGTTTTGTATTTTTGTGAGTTAATTTCCCCGTTAGACGGATTCCCAAACGTGGCCCTAATCGCCCACAGTGTTGACCGCTGGTTAATGTGTCTCCAATAATTTCAGAATTGTTATTTACAGATTATCGATAATTTGGAGTCTCTTTTTTTTCTTGCTAACTTTTGCATACTTAAGTTCTGGCATAATAAAGCACCAATGAATCTGCTTTATGAATAAATTTACATTGTCAATGTAAGTCTTGTGACTCGTGTCGTAAAGAGTGTAAATTCAAACTCAGAGGTTTGGAGGATACTCCTTGCGAGCTTTAGAATTTGGTGAGGTTGAGACACTGCTGTGGTTTGAATAAATATTGACTCGATATTATTAATGTACCTTTATATTTGAAATTTAAAAAGGACTATTGTTTTCAAAAGATGAAGCCTATACAATAAAACTTGAAGAAATTTTTGGCTGGTAGTCAAGAACATGTAATGATTCTGAGAGTTTCTCAAAACTTTTGAATTTTCAAATATTGTAGATAACTATAAAACCTGAGTTGGAGAGCTAACAACCATGAAAAACGGAAGGTTAGTTCAAACTGAACTGTATATATGAGAGGCAGAGGCAGAGCACAATGTATTAAGAGAGCTCTGTCATATATATATATACATATATATATATAGTGTGTGTGTGTGGAGTTGTTCCTGTCTTTTCATCTCAATTATTATTTTTTAAATATAATGTTTATTTTTACATCATTTTGTGCCTTTTTCCATCTCAGTTGTAAATCCCCGTGGGCTTCCCATCACCAAATCACCTGTGTGCCCTCACTGTAGTACAGTGCACTCCACACTCCCCAATTTTTGATCCATTCTCCACTCCACCCCAGTAAAATGTATCTGGTGTATAGTTGTTCATTATTATTATTATTATTTTCTCCCCTGGTTCTTTATACTCCTGCTATGAGAGAGACCATCAGTATTTTTCCTTTTCTTTCTGGCTTATTTCACTAAAGACATGTGTTTATTTTTTTTGATTGCTGAGTAATATTCCATTGTGTATATGTACCACTCCTTTTTAATGCAGTCATCTACTTTTGGGCATTTGGCTTGATTCCATGTCTTTCGGATTGTAAATAAAGCAGCAATAAACATGGGGTGCAGATGTCTTTTTGAATCAGTGTTTTTGTGTCTTTTGGGTAGATACCTAGGAGTGGGATTGCTGGGTTATGTGGAAACTCCATTTTTAGCAGCTTGAAAAACCTCCAAACAGTTTTCCATAGTGGTTGTACTAGTTTGCATTCCCACCAGCAGTGCAGGAGAGTTCCTTTTTCTTCACATTCTTCCAACATTTGTTGTTGTTAGTTGTTTTAAGATGTGCCATTTCTATGAGAATATTTTTTATAATACCAACATATAACACCTCCTTATAGGACTGTTTATTATTATGCATCTAAAATACATGCCATGAGCCTTTGATATTTCTGTATTTATGACGGCTTTACTAGGGTATTGAAAAAAAAGAGCAATGAGATGTCAAATTAAGGTTAGCTTATGAGAAGTCCTCAAAGCTGTGTTAAGGATATGATATGGAGGAAGAATCTATTAAGGCAATTTTCTACTAAGGAATAATTTGGTTAAAAAGAATAGTTAGCAATAGTTATATGGGATGTGTTAAAGGAAAAAGAGACTAAGATCAGACCTGGTGGATATGGACTGTACAGTCCTCTGCATAGGAGGACTGCATGGTAAGTGCCTACACAGAATTGAAAAACTCTGGAGACATTTTTTGGGGAAAATATATAGCTTTTGTAGATTTTAACGGTCAAATGTATAAGGCCTTAAAGTCAGTCATCTACTGTTCATTGTGAATCCCTGAATCAATAATGATTTGATAGGAAAAATAAATCCTAATTTTACTGCTTTCTATAATTGCTGTAAATAAGGTAGGGCTGATGAGTGATGAGAAAGAAATTTTAAATAACTCAATAAAGAGACTGATGACTTTAAATGTAGCTGACTCTAACCATGCCCCATTCAAAACAAATATTTGACTTAAAATAGGTTGCACAGTGAAGAAAAAGATAGTTAACAACTACAGAGGAGACCTAAAACTAGACATTTATGTGTGCTATGAAAGTAGGACACAGGATAAGTGATTGAAAGGAAATTAGTGGCATAAAAGATACTTAATTGATGACTGCCAACACTTTGGACACTTCTCAGAAATTAACGGAGCCTAATTATAAAAAGAAACTCGTCCAATTGGAAAGGACTAGGTTATAATTTGGGGAAGTATAAACAAGTCTTATCTTTCTAGTTCAGATCATCTACTAACAATCATTACGTATTAGTTCAGGTGACCTCTGAGAAGAGAACCCTCATATTTTGTCTCACAGTTGCATGCCATAACAAGATATGTTTATTCTTAAGTTCAAAATTAGAATTGGAATTAGAATTAAAGCCTACATTTGAAATTCTTTAAGGTGAAGTTTAAGTCTCAGTGTCATTATAAAAGGTGCTTTGTCTTTTAATGTGGTCAATTTGCAGTTCTTTTAATGCAAGGCTAAGTTTTTGTTACTATGTTTTGTCTTTTAATGTGGTCACAGCATTTCATAAAGTGTAAAATTAGATTTGTGTGTAAAAGTTTAAAAATATTAACTAAGTTTTTAATTATAAGCATTTAGATTAATTAGCTATTAACTTATAAATCAAAATGAATAAATAAAAATAAATTTATGTAGGTAACGTGTAACTAGAGGATATAATAGGTAGTAGTAAATAATTTCTTTCATAATATAAACCCTAAACAATTATAATGAAACTCTAGCTTATCACCAAAAAAAAAAAAAAACAAAAAACCAGAAAGTAAGAACACTAAAAGCAAATTAGGTTTTTAGGGTTTTGAACAGATACAAGATAGCACCACGTGAGAGATATTGAGGAAATGTCCATTCTTAAAATCTGAAAGAAGGAATAGTTACAGTAGAGTCTTAGATAGGGCTCTCTATATCTAAGTGACAGGAAATCCAATTCAGATTACCTTAAGGGGAAAAAATGGCTCCTATAAATAAAAAGTCAGGTGAATATAATTTATGAAGTAGGAAAGGAAGGATTTAGTACAAACAGACATCAGGACTTCTTTCTTTGTTTCTTGTTCTGCTTTGCATTTCATTGTCTTGCCATTATCCTCAGCCTCTTCATAGTGGGCTGGCACCACCAGAACTCTCCCCTTGCTGTGTAAAGTAGCTATAGTAACTCTAGCTTCAGCTTGCTAAAATTAAACACTGGGGTTAAGAATTTTTCTTCCCCATTTTTTATGGAATAAAATCCCTGGACCACCTTTGAAACAGTTTCTGTGCATATGGATTGGAATTCTCTAATTGACTTAAGTCTGGGTCTCATGCTGTCTCCAAGCCACATGGGCTAGAGTAAGGAAGTGGATGTCCTAAGAAACTCTTTGTAGCTAGGAAAAGAGTGAGAGGATGACAAGTAACAATTCTCACTATTTTATTGAATGTTTCACATGTTTTATTTAAGTATTATACCTAACCTGTGAATAGGTATGATTAGTTCTGTTACAGGGCAGGGATAGGGGCACTCCTGAATTCCCACCTCTGCCTGCTCTAAATAGGTTCTGCCATCTGCTGCATCAAGATACATATAAGACCTTTAATGGAAAGGAACTTTAATACAATTAGTGTGCAATACAAAAAAGACAAAGAATAGTTTCCAAATCAAGCACCCAAAGTTACTCATCCTCTCATGGACAGAAGTCTACCAAAAAAAGGATTGGCCCAACCAAGGCCTGAAAGCCCGCCACAGGTCTAAAGCACCTTCCAGTAGGGACCCATAGAAAAGGATCAGAAATGGCCAGACAAGTCTGGGAGGAAAAAATAAAAATCAAAGTCAAAATAAACGCTGCCATAGTCAACCTCCCCATGGGTCTCTCACCACATCTGTTTCAACCAGTACAGGGCTTCTTGTGCTGCTTCACAAGTCTATCTCTTCCTTGTGCCTCACTCAGATCTTCTGGCTATCCATTCTGCTGCTTTCTTCTTCCAGTCTCCTCTCTAGACTTTTCTCCTCTCTTCTCAGCTTCACCCTCCTTTTGGGTGGGATGGGGAACCTGGAACCTCCCCTTTTTCTGGGGACCATGCTATTATAGTACCATTTTAGATATGGAAGAAAGCATAGTACCTAGAAGATAACCGGTAAGAATTTCAACAAGAAGCGTGCAGAAGAGGCAGACGGCAAAGAGAATGAGAATGGTAAACTCAAGAAAAAATACATTTTAATTAAAATATGTTTTAATATATATTTTTAAGATTTATTTATGCATATAAGTGCTGGAGTTTAGGCCAGAGGTGCACCAGGTGAGCATTCACCAAAGA